CAACGGCATTGAACTCGATGACTCGTGTCCCAGGGTGCCGCAAGATCTCGGGGCCAAGCAGTCGGTGCGCAGTGAAGCTATCTGCCGAGGCTGACGTTGTGGTCAGTAGTGTCTCTGAGATGACCAAGACGACCGGCGTGATGGGCTCATTTGCAGGTCGCCGCCCGTAGTTCGACAGTGATGGCATGTTCGACGCCAAGTACTCCAGGAGGGTGTTTCTAAAGGATGTCAAAGCTGTCGAAGACCTTGAAAAGGTGTTGGGGAACTCTTCCACGAGGATGATCTTCCCGGAGAGGTCGGGCTTCGTGCTGGCGGGACGCGGTGCCTCGGTCGTCAGATCGGTATCCAGCTGGCCAAACTTTCCGCCTCTGCCCAGGAACTCCTGGAACTGGGCGGATGCTGATGTGTACCCGAGATGGGCGCCGAGAGCACCGGTCGGATTCCTCCACTCCAGGAGCTCGTAGCCCATGTCCCTAGCTAGAAGTCGCATGGTGGTAGTCTTTCCCGAACCCGCAGCACCCTTGAGAATCAGAAGCCGCTGGCGCATCCGTCGGGCGAGGACATCTTCCAACCACTTCCTCACATCCGAGACCTTCCTCTTGTGTACCGCCAGCTCGTCCAAGTTCAGGGGCCCAAAGCGTTCCGACCATGGTCGCGAATCGTCGTCGAGAGCCGCCGGTTTATTCGGGCGCGGAGGCTTGAGGAACCTCTGGCTTGACGCCAGACCTGTTGACGACGAGACGGGCGTGCTGTCTCGAAAGCGTTTCCGTGCAATCTGCCCTACAATGCTCGAGGTGCTAGCTTTCTGCTCTGCAACATCATCGTCCTCGGATATGGGGTCGCTTATTATGTCGTCGAGAGGTACGGTCCTCGAAGAAGCAGCTGGCTTTGCGCTGGACTTTGATGCCTGCTTCGAGAACAGCGTCATAAGATTTCCATTTCGGCCCTTCTCTTCCACCTTGACGCGCTTCGTCGGTTTGCCCTTGGACTTTTCGGGGCTGGTACTCGGGCTCTTTGTGTTCTTGTTCGATGGACCATTGCGTGATTGGAGTATAGCTGGCGCCGCGGTGGTTCGACGCTTCTCGGGTACGCGGCTCTGTGGTTTCGTTGGGCTGGGAGATGCAGTCGCGCCTCGTGTATCCGATTTGGAGGGTGATGAGAGAAGAAAGTTCGTGAGTGTATTCGTCTTGGGTAGGTCTTCCTCATCGTCCGACTCGACGACATTGCGCCTTCTTCGTTTGGCTGGCGGAGCCATTGGGCGGGATAGTGGTACAGAAGCTCAACATGAGCGCATGTTCTCTGCAGGTTTGCAGGCCGACCGACGCGTTCGACTTTTTTCCTGGCAATTCGGGGATGTTGAAGGCGCGGGTAGGCTGTGAATCATCTGCAAGAAAGAATGACCAAGCATGCACCTACCTGCCTCTCTGCCTAGGTCTTTTGGCGGGCGGCTAAAGCACAGCTGCATCCTCGTCATTTTGGAGCCTCGCCAATCGGGCCCCCACTTTGATGCACTTTACAGCGAGTGGACACTAATTTGTCGCTAAATCATCTGGTCTTGTCGGTACCTGGCGGGAGCGCCCCGCTATCTTGGTAGCGACTTCATCTTGGATCTCAAAGATGCAAAAAGCAAAAGGCAGAGTCAGGCTCGAACCACCTTGACACTTCATCAAGTTCTGCATCAAGCTTTCCTGGCCACTCTCCCTCAACCGATGACAACACTGGACGATTCTGGAGTTATAGCCCAGCCAAGGGAGGCCTTAGGACTCAAGGTTGAGTACCTCGTTGAAAGGAGCGAATGCCTTGTCCACTAAGAATGATGCAACTTCACGCAGACACCCACCGGCTGGGTAGAGTACTCAGATTCTTAACACGGTTGGTGACGTAAGTTATTGACAATTTGGCATTTTCATTACACATTGAAGTCATTCTCATGCTATGTACCCAGATGTTGTACAGTAAAGCTGTTTTAAAGACAGTCGAAACTAGGTCAATCCAGCTTGTTCCTTGTTCCTAGTCATGTGCCACGCATGTGGACAATCCCATTCCTAAATGCATGTTTGCTTCAATAATACCCCCCAGACTTCAGGTCAGCAGCTCCAAACGTCCACCCACGGAAGTTGTCAACGAACGTCAGAGCAGACGCCAAATACCGCTCATGCACGTCACCCCACGTCCTAGAAGCCTCTTTCATGGCGCGAATTGCTGAGAAGTATGTCAATAACTGCACGCTAGAGCTTGAGCGTGTGTACTAACCTTTAACATAGTGAGCATCGGTAGCCCATTGAGAGTTGAGAGCTTCATGCTCGACGTGGCCCCAATGACGTTGCTTCAAATCCGTCTCTACGTTGTCCGGGTCGATCTTTGGCCGCAAGAGGGAAATGTAGACACCGAGTACGAGCAACCACCACTCCCTTACTAAGCTTATGTGAAACTTGGCCGGAATCACCGGAAGAAGAATTCGGACGGCGTGGCTCGTCGTGAGGAGATGCACTGTGAAGAAGTTGTATCCGTGGGTGCCGCGGGGTATGGTTGCGACGAGGAGCGCGACGACAAGCTCCTGTGACTCTTCGAACTGCTTCACGGGATCCGTGATGGTCCAGGCATTCCAGTATTCCAGGACAATGTCTTCGTGCTTTGCAAACAAGACATCGAGGTTGCCCAAAGACGGTTCCTTAAACAGTCCATCGAGTCGCTTGTCATCTGCAACCTTGTTAATCAACTCGAAAGTCGACTTTGAGCTGAATGGTGACGGCTTCGTGTATCTCTTCTCGTCGAGGTATTGGTGGAAAAAGTTGTATTGCGTGGCAGCCAATGCTAGTGCCTCGATCGCGATCTCCTTGGAGTTCATCTCGTAAGCGTATCCGAGGTGGATGAGGGGGTGACCAACTACATGAGGGGTCAGCAGATGTACTTCGTCACTCCTCAAGGGAATACGCACGACCACCAATAAGCCCATGGACCAGAGGCTCGTCGCCAGTAAACATGAACTCATCGACAACCTTCCTCCATTCATAGGAGTTGTTTGCCAAATGGTCCTCAAAGAAGTCGACATAGGCTCTCTGGTATGTCTTGTCGCCGAAGAGATCCCTCCAGTCATCATCTGAGACCTCGGCGGGAGACTCCTTCCATGGCTCGAGTTCCTTCGCTTCGACCTCGTAGATATTTTGGAGCTGGCGGTCATTCGCGCCCAGCAAATAAGCAGACGAGAGAACATGTGCCATGTGGTTGTCGAACCGGAGGTTGTTGTAGATTATGGAGTGGTTGACGTGGTTGGCCCTCAGCAGGTGCTTGAGGCATCTCGCTCGCCGGTCGTGGTCGGTCTCGACATCGTGAACTTTGACAGGGGGGATATTGATGGTTTGCGCCTTCTCGCCGTCTGAGACGAAGCGGTTGACGATTGGGACGTAGGATAGAAGACTGGGCGCCATTTTCTCAAGTGAAAGCTTCAAGAAGTTCCCATTGTTGGAGAAGGAAAAAGGATTGCGACGGAGCTGCAGATGCAAATTGCCGTTGAAGACATGGCGCGACCGCCCGAGAAGCGTTGGGAAAGTGACGTTTGATGGGTTTGACTGAGTGGGGCCATTGTATGCAGGGAAGTGCGGGCACGTCCACTTTTGCAGGGACCGTCCCACCTCGGCGCACTTTAAAGTGCCCAGCGCGCCCAGCTGCTGGACGTTGGCAGACCTCAACCCCGCCATTCCCGGCCGGATGCCCCGCTATCGGTCGTCCGGGGACGGACCGCCAGCAAAGGCATTTCTTCCGAGAGCCCTTCCCGGCACAGCTTCTTTACTCCATCTCTCGGGTTGCTTAATAATCTGTGCAAAACTTATTTCAAACCCCCTGGGAGTTGGTCAGTCGCTGTTCTCATCTTCATTCTTGACCCCTGCTGAGAGTCTCAACACATGGTGCTCTCATAATCCGTTGTCATCATCACCATCAGCAAAGGGGATGAAGCATCTTTCAGAGCCAGAGAACAAGATTAATACGAGAGGAAAAAAACGCCCAACTGTTTGCAGCCTTGAGGTTTGAAGGCTACAAGTATGGTGGTATCTCGGAGCTCTCTACAGACCCGGAGGTGCGCAGATGGTGCTGCGCGAGGTGACACACGCGTGGCGTGCTTCCGTTCAAAGACATCCGCGTTTCTCAGATGGCGTCTGTCGAAGCAATATAAATACACTCATAGTCCCCTTGTCCAACACGCAGACATATCCTGGGCCTTGACATGGCTTCCCGTCTCGGTTCCACGGCAGCTTGTCGAAACAAACGCGAAAGGTGGCGGGGTCATGGTCATCCTCACGGATGGCCATGGATCTCACCCATGCTCCAGACACGCAAACTCGCAGTCTGACGCTTACTGGCCATCTTTCAGGGCGGCGTTACATAAGCCGGGAATTGCAGCTGAAGAACCATGGGTAGACCGGCCTGCGCTGCGCGCATGAACTGTTGCAATTCTCGGTCAAAGACGGGTGTCTGATTGGTGTTCCGTTTTTACGGGGCTTATTGGATTGGCCAATAGCGTGTACAGTTGTCACCGAAATCTACAACACCATGGCTCGCGATGCATGGGATTGGCATGGGATCGAAGAGCCTCAGCACGAGACAGTCTATAAACTATTGAGGATGTAGCAAAACCCCTCAAGAAACTTAGAAACAACACATTCCGGGATCACCTTACAGCTGTCAAAATCCTGCAACCCTTGCCAAACACTGGGTCTCTGTAATTACCCTTCTGCATGACCTATCCAGTCACATCGACTTACATGACCGAAATGGAGGTTGGGAGTGATATCCACAACTTTTTGGGCACCTACCCGAGGAGGTCGGCAAACAGCCCAGCGTCTTTCCATGTCACACCTAGGCTGGCTCGAGGCGGTCAAGAAGTCTTCTCAAATGAACAACAGCCTCAAGAGACCTACTTTGAGGAGGCGATCTGGGCACATTACGCTGGGAACACTTCCAGCTCTTCTGGACTCTCCTCAGATGGCGGTCGAGCTTCCGAGATGTTCCCTACTTACCCAACCTCTATTGGCACCCGCTCCATCACGGACGACTCTTCTTCTATTCACACCCCGGAACCTGTGACACCCCATGATGAGCCGGCGGCCATTTTCTCCAGCTCTCCTTCCTCCCTCGAGGTTCAGCTACCTGTCCAAGGATCCTACAGTGACCTCAGTCGGCTGCGTGGATATGACGACAAGTTGACCACGCCGCACTACGACCCAACTCATAATCCTCCCAGGTCTCTGATACTCCAGGTCGATTCCCCAACACGCGTCACGAAGAAGTCAGCAGTCTCCAGACAACGGGTCGTCAAAGACGTCAGGAAGGTGAACCAAGTCAGAGGGACTGGAGCTTGCCTGAAATGTCGAATCCAGAAGGTACCATGCTCGACTACGGATCCGTGTGCCACATGCACGACCTTCAGCAACAAGGAGCACTCTTCCGAGGTCTGTTGTATACGTGGAGATCTGAGCACCGTTGCCAAGGAGTGTTCCTCTAGGAGGTGTAAGTTATGATAATTCCAACCTTTTGTTCTCAAATCTGACCTGTTATAGTTGCTTGCTTGGCTCAAAGGGAAGATCGTGCTGTCAATGATACACTAAGACAAGCACGGCCTGAGTTCCGAGGGCCAATCTTCCACGGACAAATCATGTTTGAGAGGGACAACACCAAAGCTTCGATCCAAGCAACCTTGAGGAATTACTATTGCACGGCTCCCAACCACGGCGGTTGCACCTTTTCGAGAGACCATCACAATCCCGCGCTATTGCAGGAAGAGCTGGTCAAGTGGGCCGAACGCCAGGTCTCACCAGAAGATCACAGGACATTCGAAGGTGGCATCGAATCATTCATCAAGCTCTACTCAAAGCCTTCCCAATGTAACCACTACAGCGTTGTTAGTCATCGTCCCCAGGTACGAGCTGAACCCCTGCACGAATGTCTTCACATGGAGGCATCCAAAGTGACTATCTCTAACTACTTCCAGATACAACTTTTGCAAAAGGTACATACCTTTAAGTCAATGTACAAAGTCTATCGGATACCGACCTTCTACTTCGCTCCATCAGATAATGGTTCAATCACCGAGCTGTCATTCTCAGCACAAGCCCAGATCCGAGGTGTCGCCAAGTCTGCTCTGGAAGCATCTGAACGAGATGTTCTCGCCGAATTAGACAAGCATCTTAAGAATAAAATGGAGACGGACGAAAGACCAGCTGTTTGGGCCGCGTTGTGGCAAATGATGCTCATCTACCGGGACTTGCTTAAGAATATACGTTCGTGGCATACCACCAACAACGCCGAGTCTCTTCTTAATGCCGTGGCGGTCTTCTACGGAAGTTCTTTCCGCACTTCAGCGGCGCTGAGAATGTCTTTGGATAAGACTGAGTACGGAGAGATTGCGAATTCATTTGGAAACGCTCTGAACCTTCGAGATACTTTCTGTGAGTGTACTTGTAGTACCGGTCACCATTGGGTTCAACGATACTAACCTCCACCAGATCGGCAGATTACTGAAGGTGTGAACGTCATTGACCAGCGTCTCAAGGTCTTGGTTGTAGATCCAGAGATGAAGGTTCTCAAACGAAGGCAGCCCAAGAAGACGATTGGTGGTAAACGCTCCGCTGCTGGAGAACAAGATGACGAAGACGACGTTATGGGAGGTTGTTAATCTGACTTTGGTTTCCTTATCTCCATTGATAGCGGCCGAAATGCTTTCTTCACTCGATTTTGATTAGCGAGCGGGACATGACTGAACTTCATAGCCGTTGATTTTATCTCGTCTAACAAGACTCCAATGCTCGTACGATTGTGATGCGAAGATCTTCCCGTGCTTCATCTTTACCAACTGTCTCATGACGTAGTCTTTGGGACAGTATCTTCCATGGTGCTATGCAGTGATACCCGTTGTCCTCATCTTTCGCCATGGCTGAGAAGACTGCGGACATGCCCTCTACCGTGCGGATCTTGTCAGCGCAGTGAATCCATCTACGAGTATGTTCGTGGCGAACAAATTGGAGAATTTGCCCTGCAATTGCCGCCGCAATCATGGTGGAGAAAGACATCCCATCGAGCTTGAACGGCTTATTGAATACAGCAGGTATCGGCAGCTCAACGTCTTTGCCAAATACTGCAAAGTTATGCTTTGCGTGCGGTGATGGCGAGGGATTGAAATCGCAGTTTGCTCGATTACCTGCCGTAGTAGAAAAAATGCAGAACAGTTTCAAGCTGGTGTCAAGGCGAGCTGGAAAGGCAATGTCTCTGATATTTCCAAAGTTGGATGCTGCTGCGAAAATAAGCACTTTGGCGTTGCGAGCTTCGTTGATGGCAAACTCTAGATCGGCGTTTTCCGCGTCAAACCCTGAAGGCATCACTATGATGTCGGCCTTCCAAGACTCTCGGGCAAAGTTCACCGCCTTGATAGTTAGCCTTGACTTTCATAGTTCAAGGGTTCACATGTACTTGCCTGTGCCATCATACCAGGCGTGTTGTCGGAGGCGTCTTGTCCCTCGAACACTCTTCCGACAAAGATATCTGCGTCTGTGTAGACCTTTCTTATCAAAACAACCGCACATGTACCATGGTCAGTGAAGTCCTGATGATACAGCTCGTTATCCGAGACGAAGTCTTTGTAGTCGGTGACGAGGTTGCCGAGTTCGCCTCTGACTCCTGTATCAAGGATTGCGATTCGTGATCGCTGGAAATTATACCCCTTAGAAGCAGGGTTTCGAATGACGCGATCGAATATCTCGAACTGTTGAAACCAATGGTTCGACGATAAGCCTTCGCTATGGCATCGAAAATGAGTTTTTACATCATCTCATTACTGTGATTGAGGCGTCATACCTCGAGGCAGGGCCGTCAGCTAGAGGCTTAGTCAGAACAGAACCTCTAGTTCATCATTAGTCCTTTTGACCACTAAATTGCCCTGATGAGAAACGCTTGGAATGTATACCTATTTTACAATGTCTCCAGAAAACGTGGAGTTGATCTCTTATCGAACTGGTTGTTCGACTTGATGACAGCTGCGCCATGTTGGCCACTGAATGCGTCGCCTCGACTTGCTGTTAGATGCCTCAAACTCTGAGCTGATATTGTGAAAGGATTGATTTTATCAGACTCGGAATCATTGTGCCAGATTGAGCTGTAGTATGAATGAAGGATGTTAACGATGCGTTGCTCTATTGCCTGGCGAAGGCCTCTTGCGTCATCTTCAAACTCCACGAAGCTCTGTATATTAATACAAAGCCATATAACATCGTCAATCGGACCAACGAACGCCTTATCTGATTTATCTTGTGCAAATACTCTGTGTCCCACCATCAGATCCGTATTTGCATGCGGTGTGGTGTCGATTTGCACGTCGCTGAGGAGTCTGAAAGTTTCGATATCATGGCCGAGCCAAATTTCGAGAAGCATGATGCCAAGGGCAAGGATTTTGGGAAACCGATGCGCCATTTCGGGCTCTCTTGGTACTGCTTGATCGTTGAATATCGTGGAGAGAAAGGGCTCATTGACGAAGATGCCGGTTTCTTTTGTCTCTCGTTTTTCGAACATGAAATGAACATCGTCTTTTGTCCAGGGATTGAGCATCCATTCGGACCCATAAAGTTGCCAGAAAGTCTTGGCCAGCATGTAAGAAAGCAAGTACTTGCGCGAAACATGCATTTCTTTCCTGTAGGTTTTCAAGAGGTCGCGGAGCGAGATGCTGGATTCGTGGAGGAGGAAGTCTTGTGGGAAGTGCCACTTGGACTCCATGAACAGCCGCCCATCGCCTAATGCTTCGAATTTCAACTGGCGATGATTTCGGCGCGAAATAAGTTGGCAGAAGGTTTGCCTAGAAACCACTGTAGCATCCTCGATCGGGTGTGTAGAGGGTGGACCATTCTCAAGCTTCACAATACTGTGCAGAACGATAACCAAAGATTAGAACGATCTTATGTGGGACGGAGATATTGCGCACCTAGTTCTCGGAACACCAATTGCCACGTCCTGCCACTGAGACAAGCCGCACTGATCTTGTCCATGCGGATGATCCAAAAAGAATAGCCGGAATGTCATAATATCAGGAGGCTCGGTGCGTGAGCCACACTGCCGGAGCTTACGATTCACCGTAATATAGCTCGCCTCATCCAGGTTGTCTTGGACACACAGGCATATAGGAGACAGAGTCTTGGATAGCGCCCTGACATACAATTGACAGTCCCACCGTTGTATTATTGAGTCGTGACTAGGCTCGAGTGGTGGCGACTCGGCCACGGGAGATTTCGCTTTTGATTTGCGGAGTCGCTTCAAACGTCGACTGAATTTGTCTTTTTCTTGGACTTCCTTCAGTGCGGCTAAACTGAGGATAGCTTTGCGGATGTCACGCCGTGCCGCCTTCCCTTGTTTGAGAATGCCGTACTGGCTGAGATCGCCCGCATTGCTGGAAACGTTGAAGGATCTAGGGTACTAGGAGAAATCTCATCGTCAGGGCCTGCGACTAATTTTCTTTGCGCATGGAGGTCAAGCCAGAGTTGACTAAAGCGCTGCAAACTCACTCTGCCTAGCTTCTCTAGCACACTCAGGAGCTTCAACACGCGAGTCGCGTCCTCTTCGGAACTTTCCAGCCCCTCAAGCCATCTGGTCACGAGAGCCAATTCGGCGTTCAAAGTGCCAAGAAATGACTTCGAATCCGTACCCTCCCTAATGACTTTAGATATTGTGGCAGACACGTTTCGCTGTCCTGCTTTTGCGAGCCGGACCATGTCGCTGCTCGACGCAGGCTCCATACTTGTTGGTCGAGAAACAACGTCCTGGCGAGTCCGATAGTTAATCCAAGATCATATCTTTAGTCGGTCAACGGATGGCCTTGTCGGACCGCCCGAGCTGTTGCTTCTTTGAAGTTGTTGAATAATACTGATTGGTTGTTTTCGACGAATGAGCTACAGCTATTACATGCAGCGAATTAACATGGAGGCTGATGCTTAGCGAGACTCGTCATCATGCAGCCTCGAATGATGAGGGAACAGACTGTGTATGAGCGGCCCGCAGACAAGCGACTTTATGGGCTAGAGTGAGAAATATATTACAGAATGCTTAAAGGGAGGTGCATAGGCTATGGAAATCACGACATTCTTTTCGCTGTTCAGAGTAACATCAATTCGACGCGAGTTTACAGAGCTTCAACTATCAGATGTCGGCCCACCATCACTGCCGAGAATGAACACATCGTCATTCACGGTTATGGGGCAAGGGCATACTTCGAGGCCTTCGTCCCGCAAAGCTTTGGCGATCTGACCACCGACTTCTGCGTCGTCGGTCGTCCTCCCAAATGTTGCGCCACGAGAGAGCGTTTCCCAGGACCACTTCCAATCGAGGAGGCCTTTCGAAATCTTTGCCAGACGAACTGCCCATACGAAGTCAGTCGTTCTTTTAGCCGATGATACCAGGGCTTTGTCCTTGGAGAAGCCACCTTGTAAGCCCGTCTCAGCGATTCCAAGTGGCACTTCACTATGCACAGTACGAACGCAAGGTCAGTAAATGATTTGCCAACATGTTACGCCAAAAGCTCAATATAAATGTTTACTTACATCCCTGGTCCTCCATGAATCTTTCGGGTTGCATTTTCAGAGCTACTGACTGAGGCACCTCGCGCTACAGCAATCCCCGTGATCATGAACATGGTAGAAGTCTTGTAACATGCCTGCCCATCGAGATAGTCGCAAACTTCGGCTGTGCTGATGCTCTCCTCGACGAACGCGAGTGTTGGCTGAATGATTGACGTATCGAGGGATTCGAATTCCCAGTGATTGCTGACACTAGTCTCGAATGCAAGCCCGGCATCCAGCTTCATCGTCACTCCGGCCGCCGCAGCAATGGGCACGCCGGCCGTTGCAGAAACCTCTGCACCACGTCTAGTGTCCATCTGATATCTCAATTCCCACGATTTGCTTGAATATATTGCCATATTTGGCGGGATCTCCAGCAGCCCGTTCCGATTGATAACATTGTCGAGATGTCGGAGATCTGGAATGAGGTGCCCGAGACAAATCAGGCCACGAGAAAGCCCAAGCCCGTTGTCAGGGACCTCTGGCGGGGGGTAATTGTTGGTATCCCTATCACAGGGAAGTTGGTTCGAACCGTAGGGTTCTGGGGTTGACGAAGTATCAATATCTCTGTATTAATTGATTCTGCGTAAGGAGTAGAAGGAAGATTCCAACCGGAGGTTGGGTGGACCGTCGAGGTGTAATTGTACCATCTCGAGGTGGCCCATGCTCTACCCTTACTCACGGTCGAATTGGGCTTCCAATCCGACAGTAATGCCTCTGGGAGAGGATGAACCAGCACTTCGAGCCCATGTTGATCAGTCGTATCAGTGTAGGTAGATTCGCGTCCTTCAACGTAACAAAGTCGTCCGCTGCATAGTCAAATAGAAGCAATGATAAAAGCAATTTCAGCCCTCTTATTTGAGCACTTGCCAAGGACTGCAATGTGTTACACGGTGCAGCCTTCCGGTCACGTTACAAGCTTGACGACCTCGCGCTTGATAAGTGCTTCACGAATAAGCTGCCCATGGAGGTCAGCTACCCGGATGCACATACTATCGTCGTAATTGTAGTTCCCAACATGCGCTGGTGATTTCAAAGCACTATCAACAAACTGCTGAAGCCCAGAGCCTTGCTTCGCGTACGTCACGCAATGCCGGTCGACGACGCCCAGCCCCGTTCCTCCTTTCACGAGGCACATGTTTGCCATCGTACTTTAGCATGTCAAGCGCTATTCGCCACCTCTCGCTCGTCTCTACCAGATCCGACAGACATAAACTGGTTCGAGTATCGTGAAGCCGAATTCAATGCATGGTGTGCTGTGACGAAGGCAAGCACGTGCGGGCAGTCGCTGGAATCTCGACTCCGAGATCAGGCTGAGATGCGTCGGTTATTCCAAGATCTGTTGAATGGCTTGTATGAATCTCTCAATGACCTCTTAAAAGTGGGTAAGTACCATCACAATCTGCCTGGAAGCCCTAACTCATTTTAATAGCTCGCTTGAAGCCATCCATAGTCGCTACGTGTGCCGGTGAATTTGAGCCTAGCGAGACGAGTGACGAGACGAGCTCATCGAGCGGCGACTTTGATGTCCTCAGCGAGATATCACTTCAAGGTGACGACGTTGATCGGCATGCAGTCAAGTACCACGTATTCTATACCAAAGCGATCATAGTACAGCTCGCCAATTTATCAACTGAACTCCGGCAGTCCAGCGTCAAGTATCGCCACCAGGAAGCCGACGCCTCGCTCAGAGAAGAAGACTTCTATGGATACGTAGAGCTATGGAAGAGCGGCATTCTAGGCGGAAATCTCAACAAAACCACTTCTTCTGAGCTTGGTCAACCAGGAGCAATCGCCGACTTCCTTCCCGAAAGTCGGTTAACAGTTGTGCAAAGACGCTTGATACGTGCCAACCTGCTTCGTCGGAATAGAATCCAATTTGTCCGAGATTCCATCGCAAAACACGTAGGAATCAAGCTTGAGGAAACAATGGCGGTGCATGAATCTCTGTATGAAAACCCGGAGACTCTGAATCGAGGGTCTGACATCGTGCCTCAGGCGCTACCCAATAACGACACGCCTGATCAACCAGACCATGAAATGGTCCTACCGATGTCATTCGCAGCCGCGGATGTTGAATCTGATTCCGACCTATCTATGTTTATCAAAGACGAGTCCACATCTATCGCCACCCAAGCCACTCGAATAGGAGGTCAAGATGACTTGGAGTACCCAAAGTGCCCTGGGCCACCCATGGTTGGCACTGCACTGACCTGTCCTTACTGCGCCAGGGAATTACCAGAACAGTGTCACCGAAATCATACAAGTTGGAGGCAAGTCTGCTCGATGTTGAACATCCGATGAGCCCCGGTAGGCGCAATTTGAGTGCTGACTTCCTTCAGAAAACATGTTGCTAATGACATACTACCCTACTCTTGTTATTACGAAAACTGCGACACACCTGATCTCATGTGGTCTACTTCCGATGAACTGATGGAACACCTGAAAAAGCTTCACTCACGGACGAAATGGACGTGTCCATGGTGTACTCCGGATCTCAGTAAACATCTTCCTACTTTCAGCAGCCGAGAAGCTTGGGAAGCCCACTTGGCCCATGAACACCAAGACATCGCAGCGTCCATCGAAGTATCAGCTCTTTCTAAGATTTGCCAGCGAAGTATGCTGGAACCGGTGCCTTGTCCTCTTTGTACGAGTGACACTGATAGTACCCGGCTCGCTGCCGATGATGATCACATCCTCTGGCACATTCATGATTTTGTTTTCCATGGGAAGACGCTACTGAAGAAGACGATAAAGACCGACGACCTAGATCTTTTTGACTTCGAAAATCTTTTTGACCCAGGAGAAAACGACAAACTATCTTCAGAGGCATTGGAATATCATTCCGACAGCTCCGATTCGAAAATTCCCAGCTCCTCGATCCATCGCTTTCATCCGACCAGGATCACAAGAGAACCAGAAGGTACACTAACGTTAGCAGCCAGCATGAACTCACAACTCATCGGAATTGGCGACGTGCACGGTTTGTCGCCTAAATCTCAGGCATTGCTTTCTTATCCTGCATCTCGTCTAGACCAAGAACCAGAACGCCCGCGTAAGCCTGGCCCAGAGCTGGGCACCGATATTCGTGCTTTCCTGGACAATTATCCACGCGTCAAATCAGACGATTTACCACACGAGAAATCAGTAGATGTATCCCCAAATACGGCCGCCTACTTTGAAGATGCTACTTGGGTCATGTCTCTTCCAGGTAGTTACATTTCCTCTCCATCATCTCGCTTCGTTGAAATCGGAGACCAGGAAGGACTCGGACAAGCCTGATCTGCCATCCCTCAAGCCATCTAAGACGACAGCCAAACGTGTTAGAGTCGTTGGCGCATGCATTCGATGCTGAATCAAAAAGCTTGCATGTTCAGTTTCGGGCGCTTGCAACGCTTGCATAAGGAGTTGCCCCCAGCTAATGGAGTCCTGCATTCGAGGGGACTTAACGAGTGTTGCCAAGGGGAGATCCCACAGACGATATAAGCTTCCAGAAATTACCATCCATTTCATATACAGGTATCTCGCTCGTATCTACTACCAGGTTGAAGGCGCATGTACCGTGGCCTGACAACTGCAGTCGTTTGTCTACAAAGTAGGGAAGATAGCATCGTACTCAAGATGCTGCGCCAGCCGATCTTCCGCAACGCCATCTTTGAGGGTGAATTGGTTGTGAAGCAAGATAATTCCGAGGCCAGACTCCCAGCAATATTGAAGAATTACTCGTATTCGCAGCCGAGCAAAGGTCAGCCAGTCCACTACGGAAGCGCCTTCTCGAAAGATCATCCCAATCTCGCATTGTCGCAAATGGGTTTACTTGCTTTGGCCAAGCGCTCAATATTACCTCAAAATCTGTCGAATTTCGAAGAAGCCATTGAGACTTTTGTCCAGCTTTACGCTGAGCTGTGCGAAGAAAGCGCCGCCAGGCGCCTTCATGTGAGTTAAGCGGACCCCGTGTGGCTACTCGAGACAAAAATACGCCCGGTCTAATCGAGCACAGGAAAACGTCATATACAAGGCATGCGTGTTAAAGGCTATGATGAGACTCTTGCGACAACCAACGATATTCTTTGACAGTCCAGCGTATCAACAAAACTATAGTGCTGAGCAACCAGCCTGCGTGAGGAACAAGCTTCCATTTTCTGCACATGCAGAAATCCGCGCCGTCGCAAGATCCATAATTGAATCTTTCGAGATAGACCTACTTGCCGATCTCGATAAGTATATTAGGCCGTCGAAAGCTAGAATAGATGTTAATGAAGGCCCTGCAGTGTGGGCAGCTCTTTGGCAGCTGATGCTTATCTACCGCGACCTTCTCATAAACGGTAGACCGCAGCAAGGAAATGCCGAGACTCTCCTCGACGCTGTCGCAATCTTCTACGCAACTTTCTTTCGGACTTTCGCGGCGCAGAAATTACTCTCTCTGGAAAGTATGACCGGTCACTGGCCTGCCAGTGGACCCCATCAAGTCAGACTGATCCAGGCCTTTGAAGGTGCTCTTGAACTCCGTGGTGCCTTCTGTAAGTCTTCGTTCTCTAAGACTTCTTCCTCTACATTGTAATCATATCCAACGGACACTAATGCACGATATTTAGACCAAGAGATACTTACGGGAACGAGTGCTATTGACTTTCGGTTCCAGGTTCTTGTCGTGGCCCCAGAGATGGAATTGCTAAGTAGACGCCACAAGGCGAAAGCGCAACCCAGCAGAACACAAGAGACCTCTGGGAGACGCGACGAGGACGAAGTAATGGGCGGTTGTTATCGCATGGTACAGTGTATTTCTCTTTTCTAGGCCGATGCTGTATTGATGGGAAGATTTTCTACAGTGGCTGTAGATTGACGTCTCGTTCGATCACTGCGTGGTAGCTCTGTCCGGTGAATACCCATATCCAGTTTTAGGAATTTGAAGCGACGGGTTCTCCAGCGTAAACAATTTGCTGACGTTGCGGTAAATGTTTGAGGATTGCAGTCTTCAAGCTTGTGTCGTGGTTGATATCCAACTTTCGCTCCGCGGCTTGGTCTTCACTGCTTACGAGCAATTTTGACAGACCCGAGACCTGACGTACGTCACAATGCGTCTCTAGAATAGAACATAAAGCTTTAGGAGAAATGTCATCTCTCACGTGTCCTGATCAATCAGTAGACGTAGACTGATGATGTTCGGCACTCCTATATCGATGACCCAGAGCTCGGCGATCTTTCGAGTCGAGTGGACGACTGGATGAAAGACTCATTGAATACCAGTCAAGGGCTCATGCGTGGACCCAACATATTGCGAGAATTTGAGTCTTTGGAACATGAGGCCAGCACTGTGGGACTGGACTGGTACGACGAGAGAGGCCTATCGTAGCTGTTATCTAGGTTCGAACCAGCGGGGTCAAGGAAGACCCTAGCTGGATCTTATTATCCGAATATAGTGTACAAACATGACACCCCGCGATGTATGGCGGCCAAATCAGACCTCGAGGTGATATCTAGGTATGGATCCCTTTTGCGCGGGAAACTCACAACACTTGACCGAGGGAAGGGCGTACACCATGGTGTTGGGCTGCTTGAGCATCTGATGTCAGCTGAACGGACTCCGCGCATAACCTCGCACATGAAGCTTCATAATCATCGCATTCTTGTCAAACTATTTGCAGGCTAAGAGCGAAGAGGATAATCGAGAAACCGATCGAATACTCACAATGGCATCATCAGACCATCCCTACCAGAAGCTCGATATCGACGAGCGAGTCAAGCGTGTTCTTCTTAGGACGCCGCTCATCGACGGCCACAATGACCTGCCTCAGCAACCGCGGGCATGCTTTCACGGCAAGATTCACAATAACCCGAAATTCGATTTCGCAAATGGATTCGAGAGGGGAATGACGGATATCCCGCGACTAAGGGAGGGTGAGTTGCACTCGACCTTGTCCTATTTAATTGACTCAAATGACTTACACGATATGAAGGTGCCGTGGGAGGCCAATTCTGGTCCATCTGTGTGCCGTGTCTGAGGTCCGCGGAGAACTTTTCGACGGCAGAGTACTCTGACATGGCGCGCGACGCCATTGAGCAGATTGATATGACGCTTCGGCTTGTTGAGTCGTATCCGGAGACGTTTGAGTTAGTGAACGGGCCAAACGATGTAAAGAAGATTTACGAGTCTGGGAGGATAGCTTGTTCTATCGGTATTGAGGGGTATGTGCTCACTCTGAGGTGCTGGAATGCTCCTGATAGACTAACAAGCTTGATAGATTGCACATGGCTGGCAACAGTATCGGTATCATCAGAGCGTTTTACCGCCTGGGCGTCAGATATGTAAGTTGAACAAGCTTATAGATACCATGAGGTCTAGAATTGACTCTGCTAGTGCACTCTCACTCATGTGTGCAATAATGCCTTCGCCGACAGCTCAACATCCAAAGTCGGCGCTGTTCACGGCGGACTCTCCAAGCTAGGCCGCGCAGCACTCATTGAGATGAACAGATTAGGTGAGCAAGACAGCTCCGGGAAGCAAGCAGTCAGCTGACGAGCAACAGGAATGATCGTAGACATATCCCACGTCTCAGAAGACTGCGCCAAACAAGTCCTGGAACAGACCCGTGCACCAATCATGTTCTCCCACTCCAACGTCAAAGGCGTCTTTGACTGTCCCCGCAACGTCCCGGATCACATCCTAGACATGGTCCCAGCCAACGGCGGCATCGTAATGGTCACCTTTGTACCGGAGCACGTCACTACGCGAAGAAGGGACGCCAAGATGGACATGGTTCTCGACCACTTGTTCTACATCGCCGAGCGCATCGGCTGGGACCACGTCGGTCTCGGCTCTGACTTTGACGGTATCGCGTCTGTCATTCCTGGTTTGGAAGACGTCAAGTGTTATCCGAGACTTCTCAAAGCTATTCTTGATAGGGGTGCGACTGAGGAGCAGCTTGCCAAGGTGGCTGGCGAGAATATCTTGAGAGTGTGGCGTGGTGTTGAGAAGGTCAGGGATGAGATGAAGGCTGAAGGGGTCTTGCCGGTTGAGGATGTGTGGGAGGATAGGACTTGGTGGAGGTATGATGGATACTACCAGATGCCGGACCCTGATCCTGAGGACAAGTTGGGCTTGGATTGGTATGGTGTTCCGCCTCCGGATGAGGGCTTGTATCTGAACGACAAATAGAACTCAGAGCTGTTCAATGAGTGTTCATGAGAGAGCCCTCTTAGACCGATAAATTGCATGACTATGAATTCACAAGGATACTGGACGAATGATGCGATTGATTCATGTAAGATTCACGGTTCATCATATCGCCCCAATTTTGAGCGTAAGTATCCCACTGGAGCCGAATTCTGGTGACTGCTGCCTGATGCTGTCTTGATGGTTTAACTGTCTAAAAACCTCCAGGGAATGGTCTACAAAATTGCAGTCAGCCCATTTTCGGAATCACGGCTGGTCGTTGCAACGTTATGCGCGGGGTAGCATTTGCGCAAGTCATGGCCGCGGATGACTTCAACAGGTGATAAGACTTTTCCGCGGGAAGCACTTACACCCCCCAGTCGTGCCACTGGCTCTTATCTGCTGCTTCTCGGAGGGATACCGAATTATTAACAACACGTCTGTAGATCCGGCACACAAGTCGCTGATCACTCTATATAGCCAGATGTTCCTTAGATGTAGATGAAGCCGGGCGACTCGCATCGCAGCGGCCGAAACACCCTCTCTTCCCTCTCATAGATCTGTCTGAGCGATCACCATGAAGACAGAAATGACTCCCAAAGAGGAGCTCATGGCCTCCGAGCCAACAAAGCCCCTCGACCTCCTCGACGCAGCCGAAGGCGAGGTAATCGACCCGGAAGAGAGCTCTGCGCTTCTGAGACGCCTCGACCTGCGCCTCATGCCGCTCCTCTGCATCACCTACGCCCTGCAGTCCATCGACCGCACAACACTAAGCTACGCCGCCGTCTTTTGCATCCGCGAGGACATTGGCCTCACGGGCTCCGAGTTCTCCTGGACTGGTGCGCTGCTGTACCTGGGCTACCTCTTCTGGGAGTTCCCGACAAACGTGCTGCTGCAGAAGCTGCCCATCAACACCTTCATGTCGGCCACCGTGGTGCTGTGGGGCGCCGTGCTCATGTGCCATGCCGCGTCGCACAACTTTGCTGGGCTCGCGGCGACGAGGACATTTTTGGGCGCATTTGAGGCCTCGATCAACCCGGGTACGATGTTGCTCTTCTCGATGTACTACTCGAGAAAGGAGCAGCCTGTTCGTATGGGCATCTGGATCGGGTCTGCGGGCTTGGGGTACATCACGGCTGGTATCGTGACGTTTGGAATTGGGCATGTTCAAGGGTCTATCGCGAGCTGGCGGATTCTGTTCCTGTTTTGGGGCGCTATTACGGTGGCTTGGGGTATTCTCATGCTCATCTTCCTTCCTGGCTCGCCTTTGACGACGAAGTTTCTGTCGGAGAAGGAGAAGGCGATGGTTATCAGTCGCGTCAAGGCGAACGGCACGGGAATTGAGAATAAGAAGTTCAAATGGCCTCAATTTAGGGAGGCCATGACGGATTTAAAAACATGGCTCCTGTTCTTGTTTGCCGTTGCGAGTAACACCCCCAATGGTGGATTGACGACAGTGAGTTGATCCTATGTTACCTTGAAGACTGCAAACTGACATAACGATAGTTCCAAGGCCTCGTTATCAAGGGTATGGGCTTCTCGACGCTTCAGACCACTCTCATTCAGATGCCTTCGGGAGCAGTGCAGCTTATTCTGTGTCCCTTGGCCTGGTAAGCAGCCCCCATCTTCCCAGTCACCTCAACTTCAACTTACACAACCCAGCTTCTTCGCTTCCTACTATCCAAACGCCCGCATAGCCATCATGCTCACCTGTCTCGCCCCCTTCCTCGCCGGCATTCTCGGCCTCTGGCTCATCGACCAATCTAACCCCTACGGCCGCCTCGCTTGCCTCTGGATCTCCTTCGCCTACACGGCAACCTGGACACTCTCCATGTCCGTCGCCACGGCCAACACCGCGGGCCACACCAAGAAGATCACGACAAACGCGATGCTCCTGATCGGGTACTGCCTCGGAAACTTTGTCGGCCCCTTCTTCTTCAAGGCGGAACAGGCCCCACGGTATCCCCTGGGCGTCGCGATGATGATCTTTTGCGTTGGCATGCAGATTGCGTGCTTGTGCGCCCTCTGGTCACTCTTGTGGTTCCGGAATCGGTCCAGGAGGGCGGAACACGCGACGTCGGAGGAGAATGAGCACCAGGCTTATGAGCGTGGGCTCTTGGATGAGACTGACTTGCAGAACAAGTACTTCAAGGTTCGTGGACTTGACTTCTTTACACATGGATCTCTACTAACAGCTTTCAGTACGTGTATTGATTACAATAACACCTCGAGAAGCGCACCGGACGTCAGAGTCACATTATCTACATAGAGAAAAGTATTTAATTTGGTGAAATAGAATTTTGAAAGATCCAAACAGCCGCGAGTTCCAGAAAGTTCCGAAACCAGCCTAATATAACGTGATAGTTTGTAAAACAGTTTTCCCAGCCTTTGACATCTCGCCGCGCATTGCTCCGTGCATGTAGCATTCACTCACTAGATGGGTATCTAGTATGCTTCCTGCGAAAAATGAAGGCGGCTGGATCGTCAACGCCGCTATTGTCATAACGTTGCTCTTCGTTGTTTCTGATTGGCCGTAAAATAAACGGCATATGTCCTGAACAGAGGATCCAAACCTCGTCTCCCAGTTTCGTGCCGTAAGTTCCGACGCCAAAGCCACCTCACCTCCTCTTGTGAGAAGGATGGCCATTTTGCTGGTCATCAGCCAGGCTACCATCCACCAGTTGTCGGGGCTGTCTGACTCTGAAAAGTTCGCCCAACCAAGCACGGCTTTCTCTATATCACTACGCATCGTGAAAAACCTTGCGAGGTGGTCATCTGTGCCCAGTGTCTTATCTAGCTCGCGGCAGTTACTGGCAGCATCTGCTGCTACATACTGTTCCCATATTTTCACCAGGTTCTCAAACGGAATATACAGAGCGATCTATATCCGAGGAAGCGCCGGTTGGAGGCGCGCCCGTGTTCACAATTGTGCCAACACAATATCCACGAAGCAATAGGCGGCGACCGTCGCTCGAAACAGGAATTTGAGAGTCCAGCTGAGGAATGCCGTACGACGCGTCGTAATATTGACGTAATATTTCAGCTGATTCATATGGCTGTGAATTGATGGGTTTTGTCATTCCTTTGTGACGCCAATCTAGAACCCAAGTTGGTTCCTCCAAGGGCGTTTCACGTTGCCGGCGTCCCACGAGTGGAAGCAAAGATTGAGAAGATTGGATGAGATCCACTATCACTCGGCTATACAGCTCATCGCAGTCGATGTCGTAGTTGCTTGACTTCACGCTCGGCAATGCCCCTGCAATGAAAGGCAGTAGAGCGAAGATCTTGTCGCGCGGATCCGAAGCTTGGCGGTAGCAGGTATCCCAAAGGAAGCCAGTGATTTCTTCACCAACTCCTTGCGGCCCTGACTCAATAGAAGCCCTCACGAGTGATGTGGTCAGCCCTGCTAGCGTTGCAATTGCCTCATCTATAGGCCACTCCTCTTGGGCAAGTGTCCATCCCTTTAGTCTTGGAAAAATCACATTCGCGTAGTTAAGAGTGAAGTTCGTCAACGGCGATCGCGAGATCGTGAAGGGCCCCCAAAGAAACGTCGCCATGGGAGGAGCGACACACTCTTGAACTATCCATACTCGCCGCCACCACTGGCATTTCACCAGGCTTCGAATCGTAAGATCGAGTTCCTTGAAACCTTCAGCCGTCGAAAAGCTAGCATCTTCTGCTTTGGCATAGTCTAGGAATTCGATGAATTCCAGGCCATAGCGAGCAACGTCCAAGCTGAGCTCCCCTTCGAGGAGGTCAACCTCAGCCAACCACAGGAGGCAATTGCTGCATTTGCTGTAAACGTCGAACATCATGTCGACCTGTACGCGCTTCTCCTCGTGGTCATCCTGATTGATGCACAGCGCGTCGGCCTAAAGAGTGATGCGTTCCTGCTCAGATCTGATTCGTTGCCGAGCCAAGAACAAAGACGTGGTAAATTTGACCTCTTTTCCATCCACCGAAATATGTTTGGTATCAGAGGCGTCGCCCCAAACATACGATATGCATTGGTAGACGGGTTCGTCGTTGAGGGTAGCCACACTGAATTCCCCCTGAACCGCACTTCCTTGGCTTCCGGGCCAGATGGTGAATAGTCTTATTTGCGTGGCTGGATCCTTTAGGAGTGGCCGCACATTTGGCTCGTTGTTGCCTGTGGGTGAAGCACAAGATTAGCTAACGTACCTATGACATGTAAGATAGGGGTTGATTCGTGTTACCTAACTGATGGATATCGTCCTGGATCTCAGGTAGAGAGAGCTGGCCTAGATCCGCCATGATGGGCAACCCATCAAGCTATCGCGAGATGTGTGAAAACTGGAGAGTTGTTCTACAAAAGTGCGGGGGAAGGCAGATACTAGGTCGTAGGTGTGATGGAATGATACTGCCCGGTTATCTGCTTCATTTCAAACACCCTTGCCGTTGCTCATTGGTCCCCTTCGCGCTGGTTCATAACTTGCATGCGTTGGATGGCGCTTCGCCATCAATTGCACGAAATCGCCATGCTGTGCCGAACCTCTGCATACGGCCGCGGATCGGGTCGCGGTGGGAGTGAACACCCCGAAATCCCCGACTTGTCCGACACCACCACAGCCGGCACCGGACCCAGCACGGGCGGCGACCGCGCTTCCCATCCTACCCCTCCGCATCCTCCCATAACGACATCGCCGTCCATGTCAAAGACCCAGCTGCTGCGCATGTTCAATATGTCAATCATGAGTACGTCCCCGTCTGCGTTAATCCACCACGGCCGCACAGGCTGCACTGCCGGCCTCGGTGCTGGCTTTGGGTGCGCTGCTTTGCATTGTATCACCGCCTTGGGTGGTGGAGGAGGACGAGGTTCAGGCAGTCTCTCGGTCGAATCATTGGGGTAAGGCTTAGATTCGATTTGGTGACGGAGCAACTGCGTCCTGAGAGAGGAGTGGTGTACCATTGAAGATGATGCCGCAGAGGGAGAGAAAATCTGTGCATTGTTTGAGAGTCAATGCAATCACCAGGAGGCCTGCTTTTTAAGGGTGTAGTTATGTCTTGTTGCGAACTTGGTGAATAGAAATGGACGACCAATGTCGACACACTTGATCGAAAAACAACCCTGTCTAGATTTGAATGAGAGTGTTTGGAGCCGAAGGTTTTAACGGTACAGTGAATCATGGAAACAAAGAATGCGTCCACGAACAGCTTGCCCCCGAGTTCTTGGGGTTGTCTCAAAGGAAACATGGATTTCGTTTCTAAGTACTGAATGGGCGTAATTTTCTTTATTGTCATGAGCGCATGTTCGTTTTGAATTAAGCTCCTACTGCGCCGACCTTTAATTACATACATCTCAAGGCAAGAGACTGAAAACTTAGCTTCCTCTCTGTACCTACATCTTAGAGGGAGTATCGTCGTCAATTTACAAAGTTGATTGTGTTGGTAGAAGACCTGTCCGTAAGTGTCTCTAGAGGAAAGACACGCAACGACCCGGAAAGTTGAACTCATGCTCTCTAGTACTGCTGCAAGCGATCTTTAAATAGGAGTGATTCACGTTGGCGAAGCGGACAACGAGGGGCAAGATCGAGCGAAGAAGAAGACCATCTTCAACCGCTTTCAAGCGGTACGCACGGTGGGCATCAGAAACACGAGAAGAAACTCCATAAGAAAATAGGCCCAAAGGCAACGTTTTGCCCGAGACAGAGAAGTCCTGGGGAGGTGCGATAGACACCCTATTCAAGATCAGCGAGGTCGTCGGTCTGCCTTGCAGTGATCTTCATAGGATTCGTCGATACATTTCAAACTCATCAATACAAGAGATACTTGATCAACTGCTTGGAAGTAGAACTCAGAGCTATGCGATTTATCAGAGTACATCAAAAGTAAGGGGTTTGAATTGGTCAATTCTATTTCTAGACTCTCAGAAGTCTCGGCGTCTTTTGATCTCGGCGTCTCTATACGCTTCTTCTTCCACCTCGAAGCGCTGCAAACGTCTTCTGTCAGGCTGTGTATCTTGTCTGGGTCTAAGCAGACTACTACTTCCTCATCTTCATCTTCTTCTCTTCCTTCAACCTCACCCGCATCAGTACGTCTTCTTCCTCTTCATCTCTTCTTCTATTATCAGAGCTTCGCGCCCTCCTTCTTCCGACCATGTAGTCAATGCTTCCTCCGCGGCGCCCGGTGGTACTGGTTCGACCACTTAATCTGCACCCCAATCTCATCCGCAATCTTATACACGAAATTCGGCTCCCGCAGAAACTGCCTCGCCACAAACACCGCGTCCGCCTGTGTCACCTGCCCATGCTCCTCATCTACCTCCAACGTCGCCGCATTCCCCTGATCAACACCATTATGCCCATTCGCCTCAGCAGAGCCGGACCCCTTGGCCTGCACAATGCTCCGCGCCATCTCGCCGCTCGAAATCATGCCCACGGCGCCGATGAACAACTTCTTGCCCTCCACGGCCAACGCCTCGCGGATCTTGCCGGCGATACTGACCTGGTAGTACGGCGAGATCTCAATCTTTTGGGCCTCGTTGTTGCCGCCCGAGGAGACGTCGAGCAAGTCGACGCCGGCTTCGGGCAGGAGCTTTGCGAGCTTGATGGAATCCTCTACTACCCATGAGGGCTTGCCGTCGTATTCCATCCACTCTGTCGCTGAGATGCGCAGGAAGAGGGGCATGCCGGATGGGATGACGTCGCGGACGGCCTTGATGACTTCAAAGAGGATACGGGTGCGGTTCTCGAAGCTGCCGCCGTACTTGTCGGTGCGTTGCTAGGTCATGTCAGTACTTTCTGTGCCGCACATCATGGGGGGGAGGGGAGAACCAAGAAGGGGTTCCGGAACTTACGTTAGTCAGAGGAGAGAGGAACTCTGTAATCAGATAGCCGTGCGCGCCGTGAATTTCAATGACATCGACACCAGCCTCGACAGCCCTCTTGGCAGACTCGGCAAAAGCCTTCACCACACCCTGAATCTCCCCAACAGTCAACTCCCGCGGCGTAGCCCATCCCTCGGTAAAGGGAATCGAGCTCGGCGCAACACAGTCGTCAGGCCACCCGCCCTCGCTCTCCAGCGCCAGAGCCTTGCCCTTGGTCTCTGTAATCCACGGCGCCAACGTGCTCGCCTTGCGGCCAGCATGAGCAAGCTGAACGCCCACAGCCTGATTCTGCGAGTGGATGAAATCAACCACGCGCTTCAGCGGCGCGACCTGGGAGTCCTGCCACAGACCGACGTCCTCGGGGGAGATGCGGCCGCGGGCCTCGACGCCCGTGGCCTCGATGATGGTCAGCGACGCGCCGTGCAGGGCGAACTGGCCCAAGTGGACGAGGTGGTAGTCCGTCATGTGGCCATTGTCGGCGGAGTACTGGCACATGGGCGAGACCCAGATGCGGTTGTTGAGGGTCAGGTCGCGGATCTGGAGGGGTTGGAAGAGCGTCGGGGCCGCGGGGGCGTCGACGGGGGTTCCGGCGGGGGGCTCCTGGGCCGGGGTGTAAAACGGCACGCCTGGGGCGGCCTTGTTGGCGGTGCCGGTCATGGTTGTATGTCCGGGGGTTACGTCTTTTTTTTTTCTCTTTGCGCAGGAGGAGACCAGAGACGAGTGTGGTTATGCGGGGATAAGGTGCTGTGTTTTGCGGCGTTTTCTCGCGATGCTTCGTTTTGGAAGGGGAGGGGCGGGATGTTTGGCCAGTGGTTTCGAGTTGATGAACTGTTGTACAGGCAAGCGGGCAGAAGGACGGAGTTTGGGAAGGGTTGTCAAGGGGTTTTATCTACAAGGCTAAAAGCGCCGGATCCAACCCCGGGAACCCATATTCCGTGGCGTCACAGCAGTTGAGGGCGACTTGTCCTGATTTGTAAAGCTGTCGATGCGGGCAGCGGGCTGGGTTGGTTGGTAATTAGATAACAAACACCTCGGCACCTAGAAGGCGATATGGAGCATGGCGAAAACGGCTATTGGATCGAAACCTCTATCTCTAAGCTCAATGCTCCAGGATAGTGGGGGTATCTTTCGAAGCAGCAAGTTTAACAACAAAGTCGATTTATCAGCTCGGTCTAAAGTGCGTCCATGACAGCCTGCCGTGTCTGCTATCCGACGAAACGCCCTACCAAAACGCCCTACAGCCCACCTTCTGTGCGGCGATCAACTTGCTCTTTCTTCAATGAAGCCATCCTGTGCTTGTTGAGTAATTGCAGAATGGCATGCGTCAGTCCTGCTGCACTCTGCAGGTCCTCCCTCCTTCTTGTTGACCGGGAATAATTTTGAGTAAAAAGCGGCCTCTGTCTGGAGTGGGTCCCCCGAGTGGCGTCATTCCCGTCCGACTTGTCCCCCTCTCCCCTTCCTCCCCCGTGGCGCCGAATCGGCAGCCGCCCAATCTACCCCTCCATCCCTCTTCCCCTACCGGTCCTCGCCAAGTTGCGAACCGAGTTTCTGGTTAATGAAGCGCCGTTTCTTTCTCGAAGCCTTCTGCGAAGACTAGCTCATCCGGCAGCGGGGGTTTCAACTTTACGGAATGTTAACTATTGACTAGGCTATACGACCAAATGTGACAGACACCCCATGTCGTATCCGAATGCTTATGCCTGTAGGTAAAACCGATGTCCTTTGCTCATGTCACCCACCAACCCGTTGGCGAAGAATCCAGCCTCGAGAGCCTAGTATTCGTACATAGGAACTGCTTCAGCTATGCCATATGTCACCCTTACCTACCACACAATCAACAGAGCACGAGAACGCGGCGAGACCAATTGATTGAACCTTGCAATTTCATGTATTCATGAACATACTACATTAGACCATGGCCCGTTAAGGGGCTCTTTGAGTCTATATCCGTTCAGGACCCATCCCTGAAAGCGGTATCTGTTGAATTCCTTACTTTTCCCTGAGTCCCAAACCCGCTTGCAAAACGCCGTGGAGATGTGTTGAAAAAAGAACGCCCATGTTGAATTTGCCCGTAACCTTCCCCTGTTTTTCCGGTCATCCCCGCGGGTATTGCCACGTCATTGTCTGTTGAAAAGACTTATCGTTCCCACCCAACACCAAAATCACACTCATGTACACCGCATCAACTGCCCAAACTTAGTTGGAGTACTTCTGGCGGAAGTACTTGGCAGCGTTGACCATGTTGACCAGGGCGGCCTTGGTCTCAGCCCACTGGCGGGTCTTCAGACCGCAGTCGGGGTTGATCCAGAGCTGCTCAGGGCGAAGGCCGTTGGCAAGCATCTCCTCGATGCGGGTCTTGATCTCCTCCTCTGACGGAACACGGGGGGAGTGGATGTCGTAGACACCAGGTCCAATGTGGCGGGGGTAG